TGCCTGCAGCTCGGCCTCCTCCTGCCCGCCAGGACCATCTGGCTCTGGCTGCCCCTCGGGGCTGATCCCGGCCGTGGGTGGCTCCTCGCCCTCGCCACACTTGGCCATCTTCTGTGCCAGCATTCTCGCCGTCTCCTCCTCCAGCTGCCGGATATCCTCCATCGTCAGGTCCGTCCACTCATCCTGCCAGCACCAGGCTTGGCGGTGAGCACGCAGCATCACCTTCCTCAAACCTGGGGGGAGAAGGGGGGAAGTGAGCCCAGTGTGATCCCACAGCTGCCCAAATGACCCTCCAGCAACCTACGGGCCCGAACTCACCCACATCGTGGATGAACTGCTCGATCTTGGACTGCATCCCCCAGTATCGGAACTCCACCTTGCAGAGCTTGTAGGCGCACATGAGGGGCCCGCCGGCCGCTGCTGCCTCCAGCCAGTCATCCCCCAGCGGCCCCCGGCCCGTCTTGGATGAGTGGTAGAGTTTGGGATCCTCCTCGGGCTTGTATTCCCCGGGGGAGATGGGATCACGCACAATGTCAATGGTGTCTGTAGGGGGGAACGGCGCTTGTCACCCCGCAGCGCTTGGCAAGGGGGCACAGGTAGGAAAACAAGGAAAAAGGGACAAAAATCAGGTCAAATTATTCCCATGAGCCATGCACCCAACACAGCTGGCAGCAAACACTCTCTGTCCTAGAATTCTAAAATCTTGGAGTTCTGGAATCATAGAATCTTGGAAGGGTTTTGGTTGGAAGGGACCTTATGGATCATCTCATTCCACCCCCTGCCATGGCCCCTGACAACTTCCACTATCCCACATTGCTCCAAGCCCATCTAACCTGGCCTTGGACACTTCTGGGGATGAAGCCTTCACAACTTCTCTGGGCAATCTGTGTTAGGGCCTCACCACCCTCACAGGGAAGAATTTCCTAATAGAACATATAAAATCCTACAGCAGGAACATCACAAACACCCTTGGTGCAGCCAAGCCATCCCCATCCTCGCGTGGGATCCCAATCCAGCACCACAGGCAGCAGCACAGGGAAGGAGGGGCTGGGAGCTTGCAGAGAGCCAGGGCTGGCACACAGATCTGGCAGCTGCAGAGTGATCCCAGCCACCCTGGGGGACATGGGGGCTGAGGACAGGGAAAGTGCATGGGGTAGCTCGGCACAGCTCCCGGCTCCACCCACAAAAGGCACGAGGGACCCCCAAAAAGGGGGCACAGCAAAACCACCACATGGCACAGGAGCCTCAGGAGAGCCGGGGGGAGGGCAGTGAGCCCCATCCCCAAACAAAGGCGACCTCTCCCAAAATGAAGATGACCTCCCAAGACCAGAGAGAGGCTGCTGAATGACAGCCAGAAAAACACTATCCAACAGTTGTTCGGGCTCAATTCAGCATAAAATCTCCGAGAATTTGGCTTTTCCAGCCCTGTCTCCAGGTCATGTTCTGAGATATCCCAGGGCACCCCACTGGCTCCCAGTACAGTCCTGCAGCACTATCCCCATTCCCAGCCTGTGCCAAGCCTTCCATTTATTTGCCCCCCTTGATGTCCCCAAGGTGCTGTCAGCCTCTATTCCTCAAGCTTGGGCTGAAAAAAGGAGGGAAAAAAAAACTAGAGATGCCCTGAATCACAAAAATGATGCAATACACAGCATGATGCCAAGCATCTTGGATAACAGCAGCAAAGAGCTAGGATAGGACCTGCTGTCCCCAAGCAGCTCCTGGCAGTGTCATTTCCATCACAGTCCAACTCCCTTTGCTTTTGCCACTGGGGGAAAGCTGCCAAGGAAGCAGTTATCCCTGCGGATCACCCAGATCATGTTTTTCCATCGCCCTTTGAAACGTGAGAGGGGTTTAAATCTGTCACTGCTACAGGACACCAGGGCAGAGAAAATCCCAGCAGGATCCACACTGGGGCTGGTCCCACTTCAACCATCCTCCCTGTGGAAGGCAGCAGCCACTGGAGATGCTGAGTGCCCTGTGGAATGCCCACGGGACAGGCACTAGAGTGGAAAACCAGGCAGTGGGGACAGGGCCATGCCCTGATGCCGTCTGCTTAGCCCTGGTTGCTTCCCGGGGGCAGTAGGGGCAGAATTCCTGCCCCCAGGTCTGAGCCATCGGTATCCCAGCCGGACATCCCCAGTGCCGCAAGAGCCGGGGAGAGAAATAGGTCAGATGAATCATTTCCTCCAAGTGCCTATTTTAGGCCTCCATTTTAAGAGGCAGCACGTCACACTCCACACTCTGGCGCCTGAACTGACCATGTCCACACCACTAGGAACGGGAACTCAGCAGAGAGGGAAGAATCCCACCCTGAGCTCCCAGTTCTGCCCACCAGTTTCCCCAGAAAGGAGCCAGAGAGCGATCTGGAGCAAAGCCCTGGGGAGAGGGGAAGCAGGGCAGAGAGTAGGAAAATGGGGACATGCTTTTCCAGCTCTCCCTGCTCCAGCTGATCCAAAACACCCCACAGGACCCAGGTGTGGGGTCCCCATGTACACCAGGAGAGAAGGCAAATCTATGCCAGAACAAGGCTAGGACACGGAAGGAGAGGGGAGCAGGCTGGCACTAGGGAGGAGAAGCTGCAAACAGAACTAGAGGCAAGGGAAGAGACAGAGGACAAAACTGCCCCTGAAAATATCTTTAACGTGGAACTTAATTCAGTAGTGCTGAGAGGGCGCAAGCAGGCAGCTCGGAGCCGGGAGCCAGGGGTAGGGAGCCCAGGCTCCAGGGAGCTATTCCTTTCCAGCATCCTTGAAACATGAGGACCAACAAGGAGAGTGAAGTTGACCCCTAAGGCCCCATCACAACCACACACCCATCCTGAAGCACTACATGGGAATCCCAACAGCCACAGCATCCTGCCCAGCTCCCCCAGCCAGCTATACCCACCCAAAATCCTCTGCCTCTTCTCCACTGCACTCAGGTTGAAGATGTTGGTCTGCTGCCCCGCATCCGGGCGGTAGTACGTCTCGATCTCAATGGAAAACTTCTCCACAAAGGGACACGTGTACCTGGAGGGGCACAGGACTGAGCCGGGGCATGGCCAGTCCTGCAGCCCATCCCGCTGCCTCCCAGCTCCCACCTGGTGCGTGTGTAGGGATAAGCATTCCAGGACTCCTCCTCCACCTGGAGCGCAGCTTTGGGGAGCAGCGCCCTGAACCAGCTGGGGATGTGGGAGCCGACGTGATAGATCTTGTGGGTGTATTGGCCACTGCCGCCGGGGCCATCGCTGTAGGGACGGTTGGCCAGGATCTCCACGCCACTGCCCTCGCCACTCGACTCCTCCCGGCTCTTCTTCTGCACAGAGAAGATGGTTCAGTGTGGCCCCTCTAAGCCCCAAGACCCCCACGGGCACCCAGGATCCCCATACACTCCCGTCCCCATGTGCTGGTATCCCCCCCGCCCCACACCTGCTCACAGGACCCCCTGCTTGGCTCGGTGGTCCCAAACCCACCTGAAGCCTCAGTGACACCCCTGGCAACCTGCCAATCCCTTGGAATCAGCCTCCCTTGGGATCCTCCCTGTGCCCTTCCAGGCTCCATGCTCAGCCCTATAGCTCCCCAGTTCCCCACACTCAGCCCCACAGCCTCTTACACCCTCCAGCACCCCATGATTAACCTCAAAGCCCCCTGTGCACCCCCAGGCTCAGCCCCTGCACCCTTCATGCTTCCCCATAGCCTTCTACGCTCCCCAGGCTACAACCTCCAGCTTCTCTCAGCCCCCTGCACCCCTTCAGTGATAGTCCCCGGATCCCTGCACCCCTCCAGCCCCCCATACCCAGCCCCACAGCCCTGTGCACTCCCTCAGTGCCCCACATGCCTCAGGCTCAGCCCATAAACCCCATACTCGTGCAGACCCCAGGCTCATCCTCCAGACCCCTACAAGCCCCAAGCTCCCCCCACTCAGCCCTGCATCCCCACCTGGATCATGTACAGCTGGGCCACCTGGTACTCCTCCAGGCTCATGGGCAGCAGGATGTGGTACTCCTTGATCAGCATGGCGGCGGCGGGGGCCAGGGGGGACAGCTCCTGAGGGGGCTTCCGTTACACCGGACCGGGCTGGCTTCGGGACAGCTCAGGCCGGTTCGGCACCCCTTCCGAAGCGCTCGGGGTGCACTGAGCTCAGCCCGGTACCGCTCGATCCGGGTTTGGACCGTCTCGGAGACGCTCCGGCCCCGGGTTCGGCTGAGTCCGGTACCGTTCGGCTCAGGGTTCGGTTCGGTCCGGTACCGCTCGGCTGCGCTCGGTCCCGGGTTCGACCCGCCTCGGCAAAATGCTCGGCTGAGTCCGGTACCGCCCGGCACCGCTCTGCCCCAGGTTCGGCCCGGCTCGGAAAAGCTCGGCCCCGGGTTCGGCGGAGTCCGGTACCGCTCGGCTCCCGGTTCGGTTCAGTCTGATATCGCTCGACCCCCCTCGGTCCCGGGTTCGGCCCAGCTCGGTCTCACGTTCGGCTCAGTCCGGTACCGCTCGGCCCCCCTCGGCCCCGGGTTCGGCCCGGCTCGGCCCCGCTCGGCTCGGCTCCGTTGCCATGCCAACCCGGCCCCCGCCACCCCCCCCCCCCACCGAACCTGCGCCGCTCCGCACCGGCCCCTCGGATCGTGACATCACAGCCCGTTCCCACGGCGACAGGCGTGACGTAGGGAGGTGAGGGGGGGGCCCGTGACGTCAGAGAGCGGAAGGCAGCGAGCGCCACTCACGGGCGCTCCGCGTGTACCGGCACCGCCGCCCCCGGAAAAACCCGGTGTTTTATTTTAAAAGCCACTTTTTAAACTGAGCAACGAGTGGTTTGACCACTCCTGCACCTCTCAGCTCCGGGACACCCACCCAGCGCGGCTCCAAACCCTCCGACTCCCCAGCCTCTACTCCGCGTCCCACCACCACCATCGCGACCAACCCCCGTGGGGACAAACCGAGGCCAAATCCCAACATCGTCCTTTATTTATAAAAACACGCATTTATAAAGAGCGGAGAGCGCGGGGAGGGGAGGCTCGGGCAGCACGGCAGCCCCCCCGTCCCCGCCGCCACCACCGGGAGGTCCCGGGGGGTCCCGGGTGGCAGCTGCCGTTACGTGCGGGCGTTTCGCTCTGTCTCTGCCAGGCACTCCCTGACCAGCGCCCGGGCGTGGATGATCCCTGCGGGGAGAAGCACAGGGACACCTCGAATCACCCTCCAGTCGCTCCCCGCGGGGCTGGGGAAGCCTCGGGAGCGCAGCCCCGCGGCCGCCCGGTTCCTCCCCCGCCCCTACCCCGCTTCAGCCGCTCCATGGCGCTCTTGCTGCCGGCATAGGTGGGCCGGATCTCCTTCCCCATCTCCTCGATGACCGAGAGCAGGTCCGTGTAGGTGCTCTGCGAGCCCTGCGCCCCGGGGGGCTTCATGGCCTGCGTGGACATGGGGACACGCAGGGACGGAGGGGCTGGAGGCCGCCCCCGCCGCCGCGCCTGGCCCCACCGGCCCCGGCCCCTCGCCTCACCTGCACGTAGCCCATGGACGGCGGCCCGAAGTCATTGAAGAGCGGCCGGAAAGGGGCGGCGGCGCCAGGGACGGAACCGGAGGGCGACGGGACACTCGTGGCTGCGGGAAACTGAGGGTCACGGCCGCACTCTCCCTTCCTCAGTACTTCCCTCATTCGGTGCCATCCCTTCCCGGGGTACCCCCCTCCAGTCCCTCTCTGCTCCCAGTGCCCCCAGTCCCCCGCGGTAACCGCGGGGTTCTCTCACCGGCGGACGGTGCCCCGGGCCCCGGCGGGGCGGGGCTGGCGCTGGCGGCTCCGGGGGTAGCGGGGGCGGGAGCGATGGGCTTGTAGGACATCCCCGACGGCCGCCCGCCGCTCCCGGATCCCTGGAGCCCCGCGGCGGGGGTCGGTGTGCGGCCCCCGCGCTCGCCCCGCCGGTTGTATCGCCGGTGCCCGCCTCTCTTCAGCTCAGCTCGGCCCCGCTCGGCCCGGCAGGAAGCCGGGAACCGGAGCGGAGCGCGGCGGCCCCGGTTCCCGGTAGCGCTGCGCGGCCCCGGCCTGACCCGGGTCTCTCCCCCCTCCGCCGCCGCCGGCGCTCGCGGTGATGACGCAGACGCGTCACGAGTGCGACGTCATCACGCCGCCGCGCGCCCGCCGGCCGGTCACCGTGGAGACACGCGGCGTCGGCCCCGCCCCCTCAGTGCCTCTCCGACCACGTGATTGTCGCGTAGGCCACGCCCCCTCGCCCGGCGGGGCCCGCTCCAGGTCACGTGACCGACCGGCGCCACCGCCTCGGGGGGCACGGGGGGGAACCGGGAGCGGCACCATCGGCACGGCCGTGCTCCCCCCGCCGCAAAGGCACCCCGTGTCACCCCATAACCCCGAGCCGGCGCCGGTCAGGGCGTCCCGACTCCCTGCAGGAGTGAATCCCGGCTCGGACTTTGGGAGGCATCGCCGCCGCCCGCCCCGGGAACCGACCCCACTCGCCGGCCGTGCATTCCCCGGAGCCCTGTGCCCGCACAGGTGAGGGGGGGTCCGCAGTCCCGGCTCCCTGCGGGCTTCCCGTGAGGCACAGTGGGAGTCAAGGGTTTTGGGGAACGGCACGATCCCGAAGAAACTCTTTGGAAACAACATAAAACACAAAACAAAAGTCTGTAGAGAGAGTTTTATCATTTCAAAAGGGCAAAATCGGCCCCAAAACTGCAGCCAGGGCAGGGAGGGTACCTGCAGCAGCCCTGCCTGCAGCTGGCTGAGGCCCTTCCACCCAGCAATGCTTTATTTCTCTCCTCGTGAATTTCCTGGCTGGGCGGCCCGGAGTCTCCACTGTGCTGGGGGCTGCCAGAACATCCATGAGAGTCTGTGCCAGCCCCGAAGGGGGAGGGATGCCTCACCCTGGGCGAATCTGGAGTAGGTCTGAGCTCTAACCATGGTGACAGGGCGGGTTATGCTGTGCAGTTCACATTAAACATGGTATGAGGGGAGCCTGAGGGGCTCAATGTGGCACAGAGTGGGAATGGAGGCTGAAGGGATGAGCAGCAGGGATGGGGCATAGCTGAAGGAGAGATGACTACGATGGTGTGACTTTCAGGGTGAGGTCCGGGTGGGAAGGGGGATGATGCAGGGAGAGTGCAGAGATGAGGGCAAGAGTGGTCCAAGCCTGGCCGAGCCTGTGCTGAGAAGGGTCCCAACTTTGGCCCCAGTGCCTCCCCCCACGGTCAGAGCTCAGCATCGGAGCAGCTCCAGCACCCGGCCTCTCTCCAGGCACGGGCTCTGGTGCACCAGCACTGTCCCAGCCCCTGGAGCTGGGGGTCCCTCTGTGGCCCCCTCCTCTTCGTAAGGCACGGGGGGCTTGGGTCCCGCGTTGGCACACACCACCCTCAGCGCGACATCATCCGCACAAACTCTGCCGGGGGGAAAACACACGTGGGGCATCCTGGATGTCCCTGGGAGCGCTCCTGGCCCCTTCCCTGCTCCTACCTTCGAAGTCCACCAGGCCATCGCCGTTGAGATCCACGTCCTTGAGGATCTCATCAACCTCCCGATAGTTGAGCTGCTGCCCCAGGAGCTTGCGCATGGCCTCCCGCAGCTCTGCCATGCTGATCTGCCCGTCCCCATTGGTGTCAAACTATGGACAAGGTCTCGTTGCCACCAGCCACCCCTGGCACGCTGGCAGCCTACCCGTCTGTCACCACCGTCCCTGTACCTCACGGAAGGCGTCACGCAGCTCCTTGATCCCGATCATATCCGCTGTCTCCGCCAGCATCTTGGGGCCCATCAGCTCCACGAAATCATCAAAATCCACCTTGCCCCCGGCTGCGGCAGGAGAGGGGTGTGAGCGGGGCATGGGGCAGGGACTGATGGGTACCCACTGCCCAGCCACGTACTGATCTGCTGGGACAGCTCGATGAGCTCCATCTCCGTGGGCATGTAGCCCATGGTCCGCATGCATTCGCCCAGGTCCTTGTAGCTGATGTAGCCATCGTGGTCCTTGTCGAACTCCCGGAATGCCTGCTTCAGCTCTGGGGGATACCACGGCATAACCACCAGCACCCTGGCACCACCACCCACCCAAGCGAGACCCTCTCCCCAGTGCCTCACCTTCAATCTCCTCGGGCCGCAGCTCCCGGTCCTGGGGAAGAGAAAACGGGAAGAGACGAAGGAGGGGCCCTACTCCCGGAGATCCCACAGGGATTCTGCCCTAAGCCCCCTGGGAGCACAGGCAGCACACGGGGAGGGGACAGTGGCGTACCCGTTGGGTGATGGCGATGCTCTGCCGCAAGAAGATGCAGGCTGGCCCCACCAGACCCTGCAGCACCGAGTATCCCTGCATCGGAGGGGTCTGTGCCACGTCCAGCACGTCCTCAGGGTCCCCTGCGCCGGAGCCCGGAGCACCCGAGCGTGGCTTCCCATCCTGCGGGTGGAGCAGGCGTCAGCGGCGAGGGGAGGCCAAGCAGGAACCCCCCTTCTCCTCCTCCTCCTCCTCCTGCTGCCCCGCGGGGTGTCACGGCCCTGCTGTACCTTGGGGAGCCGCCGCTCAGGGGTCTTGGTGCAGTTGCCCATGGCTGGGGGCTGCCCCCGTGCCGCAGGACATGCCTGGCCCCGGGGGGGGCTGGCTGGCGCAGACCGTGGGGCTGCCACCGGGGATTTGAGGTTTTTATGGAATATCTGGGGATATGCAGGGCAGGCGCGGGGGGGTGGGTGCCGCGCCCGCATGCATAATCCTCCGGATTATTCCTCGCTCGGCCGCCCTGCTCCAGATGTGGGCAGCCGCCCAGCTGTTCCCCGGTCCCGCAGCCTCCCTGCGAGGGCACACAGGATCCCCGGCACGCACCGTGTCCCGGCCGTGTCCCTCCCGCCGGTTACCTGCCCAAAAGCGAGGAGCGGCCGGGGTCCCGGCTCCTCGGCAGCCCGTTGACACTCCATGGGGGACGCACCACTACGGGGGTTTAATCTCCCCCGACCGCCCGCAGTGCCGGCAGTGCCGGGGCCCCTGATCCGAGAGGCCGGGCGGGAGCCGCGGGCACCCTTTCGGCAAGTGCCGTGGTGCCGCGGGGTGCCCCGGCAGGTGGGGGGCGCGGGGCTGCCAGCGCCGCGCCGCTGCGGCCCGCGGAACAGGAAGAACATTCCGCTCGCTCCTGCTCCTTCTCCCCACGACGGGGGCCAAGCGGGAGGAAACCAGATCGCCCAGAACCTACGCTCGTCCCTCGCAGGGACGAGGCCACCGCTGTCCCCGGTACCCGCCGCGTCGCCCAGGAGATCGGGTGGAGCGCAGCGACCCCCCGGGGCGCTGGTGGGGGGGAGCAGGGCGCCCCGGGGGGCTCCAAGGGGGGCGGGCTGGGGGCTCCGGTTTCAGCGCCGAAACCCGACCCGGGCCCGGCAGCGGGGCACGTGCCGGCGCGCCGCAAGCGAGGCCACGCCCCCTCTGGGCCCACGAGCCCGCCCTGTGAACGCGCCCCCTCCTCTGGCCCCGCCCCCAAACCGAGCCTGGCCCGGCCTCTCTCGTGACGTCACTGGGGCGCCGCCGGCGCTCCCCGTGACGTCACCGCGGGGGCGGCTGAAGGTGACGGTGGTCGGTGACGGTGGTCGGTCCCGGTGCCGGTGCCCCCCGCCATGGCCGGCAGGCAGCTGCTGGCGTTGCGGCGCCTGTCCGCCGCCTCCTTCTCGGTGAGCGGGAACGGGGCGGGGAGTGTGAGGACCATGCGGGATGGATCCCGGTGTTCCCGGTGCTGAATCCGTGTGTCCCCGCAGACGGCGCCCAAGAAGACGCAGTTCGGGTCGCTGCGGGATGAGGACCGGATCTTCACCAACCTCTACGGGCGGCACGATTGGCGGTGAGTAGGGGGAGCAGCGTGGGGAGTGCTGGTGCCCCGTGCCCGGTGCTACCGTGCCCGGTACCCGCAGGCTGCAGGGCGCGCTGCGCCGCGGTGACTGGTACAAGACGAAGGAGATCCTGCTCAAGGGCGTGGATTGGATCCTCGGCGAGATCAAGACCTCGGGGCTGCGAGGTCGCGGCGGCGCCGGCTTCCCCACCGGGCTCAAGTGGAGCTTCATGAACAAACCCCCGGATGGGAGGTGAGACCGGCCACAGCTCCGGTACCGCGGCCTCGCTTTGTGTGGAGCCCCCCTAACGTGAGCTGCCCGCAGACCCAAGTACCTGGTGGTGAACGCAGACGAGGGCGAGCCGGGCACCTGCAAGGACCGGGAGATCATGCGGCACGACCCGCACAAGCTGCTGGAGGGCTGCCTAGTGGCCGGGCGGGCCATGGGTGCCCGCGCCGCCTACATCTACATTCGAGGGGAGTTCTACAACGAGGCCTCCAACCTGCAGGTGGGGGGGGGGGAGCACCCCACAGCCACCCCACACCCCCTGGCGTGGCTCGGGGTGCTCCTGGGCTCACCACCTGTCCCGCTGCAGGTGGCCATCCGTGAGGCATATGAGGCTGGGCTGCTGGGTGGCAATGCCTGCGGGTCGGGATATGCCTTTGACATCTTCGTGGTGCGTGGTGCCGGTGCCTACATCTGCGGGGAGGAGACGGCACTCATCGAGTCCATCGAGGGCAAGCAGGGGAAGCCCCGCCTCAAGCCCCCCTTCCCTGCTGACGTGGGTACGGCCCCACAGCTCTGTCCTGAATTCCCAGCTGCCACCCCAAAACAGTCGTCCCCAGAACACCGTCCCACTGCAAGGACAAGACCACGTCCGTTGAGAGAATGATGTGGGGTAGACGGGGTCTGAAAAGACTATCTCATTCCACCCTGCTTCCATGGGCCACATACCATGGTCCCAGGTTGCTCCAAGCCTGAACCTGGCCTTGGACACTTCCAGGGATGGGGCAGCCACAGCATCTTTAGGTCACTTGTGCCAGGGCATCACCACCCTCACAGGGAGGAACTTTTTCCTAATGTTTTCCCAGGTGTGTTCGGCTGCCCCACCACGGTGGCCAACGTGGAGACGGTGTCGGTGGCCCCCACGATCTGCAGGCGCGGCGGCGCCTGGTTCGCCAGCTTCGGCCGGGAGCGGAATTCCGGCACCAAGCTCTTCAACATCTCGGGGCACGTCAACACACCCTGTACAGTGGAGGAGGAGATGTCGGTGCCGCTGAAGGAGCTCATCGAGAAACACGCCGGTGAGCGCCGTGGCCGAGCTGGGCCAGAGCGGGGCTGGAGCTGCCTGTCTGACCGTCCTCTTTGCAGGAGGTGTCCGCGGAGGCTGGGACAACCTGCTGGCCGTCATCCCAGGCGGCTCCTCCACGCCACTGCTGCCCAAGTCTGTGTGTGAGACGGTGCTGATGGACTTCGATTCCCTGGTGCAGGCGCAGAGCGGGCTGGGCACGGCCGCCGTCATTGTCATGGATAAATCGGTAAGGGATGGGCGCACCATGACTCCCCCAGCCACGGTGGGACCTTCACCTTCCTCACCCTCCCTCTCTTCCCAGACGGACATCATCAAAGCCATCGCACGCCTGATCGAGTTCTACAAGCATGAGAGCTGTGGGCAGTGCACCCCGTGCCGGGAAGGTGAGCAGGGAGCTGTGGGTGAGGGACTGTGAGGTGGAACTCTGCAGGGACCCATCCCTATTCCCCCAATTCCCGCAGGCGTGGACTGGATGAACAAGGTGATGGCACGGTTCGTGCGGGGCGACGCGCAGGCTGCTGAGATCGACGCGCTCTGGGAGATCAGCAAGCAGATCGAGGGACACACCATCTGTGCCCTGGGCGATGGCGCAGCCTGGCCTGTGCAGGTGAGGGGCCCGGAAGGCTTGGAGGGGCCAGCAGCCTTCCCCCTCCCCGTTATTAACCAACTCCCCTGCTCCATGCAGGGCCTCATCCGCCATTTCCGCCCCGAGCTGGAGGAGAGGATGCGGCGCTTCAACGAGGCCAAAGCCCGAGTGGCGTCGGCATAAGGATTCACCACCATACCTCCCTTCTCCGGCTTGGAAGGGGTTTCTGGGGTGCTAGCAGCACTCAGAGGGTTCTCAATAAATACTGCTGTGCTCCCAGGCTCTGCTGTGGACATAAAATGGTGGGAAGTGGCTCACGGGGCAGCGGGCCTCTGGGTCCTGCTGTACCTGAACAGGAGATCCCCAGGGATCATGGGGTCACACAGGTGGGGCCTGGATACCCCAGAGGGGAGGTCCTGGATTTCCATGAGGTTGGAGATGGGGCAGAGATAATGGCTGTAGGGTATTCAGAGACACAGTCCCCCTCCTTGGGGACCCCACACTCCCTGTCCCCACTCCAGTGGCACCAGGACTCCTCCTCCTGTGCCAGTGCCAAGGGACAGCTGTCCTGGCCCCACTCCACAACATGGAGCCAGGGGCAGTTCCAAACATGGCTTTTACTGAATCACAGTGTGCGACAGCGCTGCTGGGCTCGGAGCTGTTTCCTCCATGCATGGGGACCCCACAACCATCCCCTGCCCCCTCCCCACTCAGCCCGGGGCTTTCCGGGGAGGCACGTGGGTCTTCCTGCGGTAGCGGCCTGGCACCAGCAGCTCCAGGGTCAGCTCGGTGACAATGGCCGTGAGCCCCCACACCTTGTGGGGGCCGTTGAGGAACACGGGCAAGGTGTATCCGTAGCCGCTGGCCGTGCGGAAGTGGGTGTAGCCTTGGTTCTCCTCGCGGAGCAGGTGAGCCAGGGGCAGGGTGAACACCTCCTCCACCTGTCAGCACAGACCACAGTGACTGGGAGCAGCTGCCACGGAAAGGGGAGCAGGCCTGGGGAGGAGATACTCACCTCGTCAGGGTTGGGGTTCAGTGTCAAGGCCTCCAGTGGCCCCAGGTTGGCCACGACGGGCGCCACGGTCATTCCATGCTGAAAGGTGTGTCAGCAAGGGACAGGGTGACACCCTCTCCCCAAACTGCCTGGGCCTTGTCCCCCCTGCATCCAGCGCAGGCACTCACCATGCATATCACCCCCCCCACCAGTGCCACTGTCTTGTGTCCTGTCACCTTGAATGCTCAGAACTCTGGTCACCCATGTCTCCCTGACCTGTCCCTGTCACCTGTAACCCATCAGCTGTGTCCTTGTCACATCAAATCCATCACCCTTGTCCCTGCTGCCCTGTCCCCATCACCCAGAATCCCCATCATCTGTAACACCTATCACCTGTGTCCCTGTCCCCCTGAACCTGTCACCAGTGACCCTTTTCCCTGTCACCCAGAACGCTTGCTCTGTCACTTTTGTCCCTATTCCTTTGTCCACTGAACCCCCTCTGTGTTCCTGCAGCCTTGTTCCTGTCACCCTTTGTTCCTTGTTCCTGTTACCCCAAACCTATCACACCAGAACCTTTGAACCTGTCACCTCGAACCCGTCACCCATGCTGCCTTCCCTGTCACTCTGAACCCATCCCTGTGTCCCTGCCACCTTCTCTGTCACCTTCAACCCATCCGTGTCCCTGCCGCCTGCCCTTTCGTTCTTGTCCCCGAACGCCCTCGTCCCCGCGCCTCCGAGCCCCGCCGATCCCCGGTACCCGGTCAGGCAGCGTCCGAAGCTGTCCCCAGACGCTGGTGGCTGCCACCGCCACCCCCAGCTCCTCCCGCGTCTCCCGCAGAGCCGTGGCCACCGCGTCCCCGTCCGCTGGGTCCCGGCGCCCACCGGGGAAGCTGCGGGAGGGATCGGGGGGTGGGGGGTCAGGGCCGGCCCGGTCCCGGTGCCCGCTCCCCCAGCCGGTACCTGACGTCGCCGCTGTGGGGGCCGGCGAGGCGGCGGGAGCGGAGCGTGAAGAGCAGCGCGGGGCGGCCGCGCACCGAGCACAGCGGCACCAGCACCGCGGCCGCCGCCGCCGCGCCCCCCGCGCCCCCCGCCGCCAGCCGCGCCCGGCACCGCCGCTCGCTGCTGCCGCTCAGCACATCCCCGGCGACCTCGGCACCGCCCGGGCCCGCCATGGCGCCGGCACGGGGCGGGGAGGAGCAGCGAGGGAGGAGGGACGCGGGGAGGGACCGGCACCGCCCCCCGAACCGAGCCCGCCCCCGCCGCGGCCCTTCTGTCCCCTGGGGTGCGGCAGCCCTGCTCCGGTGTGCGAGTCTCGTCCGGCGTGGAACGGCCCCTGCCGGGTATGAAACCACCTGCCAGTTTGGCCATGCCCCTGCCCGCAACCTTTCGGCTCTGTGTGCGACAGCCGCCGCCAGGTGTGTAACCCACGTCCCGCCTTTGCAATGTGCCTGCCAGGTGTGCAACAACCTCTACCAGGTGTGCAACAACTCCTGCCAAGTGTGCGACCTACCTTCCAGCTTTGCAACACCCTTCCTGCTCTGCTGGCTGTGCAAGTCCTGCTCCAGCCGTGCCATAACCCGCACCACATGTGCAGGTGTGCAATAACGCCCCAGGAGTGTGTCCCTCTTGCTGGTGTGTTACAGCCCCGGCCAGCTGTGTGGCCCCACCTCCCAGCGCTACACACCCTCCTGGGTGTGCACACCTCTGGCCAGGTGTGCAACGCTCACATCTGCCCCCTCTACAGGCCTTGCAAGGACCCTTCCAGGTGTCCAACAAGCCCTTCCAGGTTTACATTCCCCCCACTTCTGACAGCCCCCACGTGCCACTGGCCCTCTGTGTCACCAGGTGTCTGGGATTATCAGGGAATCTCCCCTATGGAAAGAGCCTCAACAGTGTCCGAGGCTGGGAAAAGGCTCCTGGATAAATCAGGGAATGCTGGTGACCAGCCAGCCCCTCTTTCCAGGAATCCCCCATGGACAGAGACTCTCACACCTGCACCTTCAGCTCTCAGCAGGAAATGATTTTTAAAAAACTGTATAGAAATCATCACTCTCCATGATTCTTTGCTTCCAGAGCCCAGCATTGGCTCCACAATCCCACTCCCATCTCCGGAATCAGCGGAACCTCCGCTCCTCCCACACATATCGCTTCCCTGCTGGAATCTTGCGGAAGAACAGGCTGTTCCCTCGGCTCATGTTGCCCTGGAAAGGGAAAATGATAATGGAGGGGCCACACGGGGTCCAGGGTGGCCCCTCCAAACCCCATGGAGCTCCCACCCGGCTCCTCTCTGTGTCCCAGTGTATGCCAGTGCATCCCAGCTTCAGCACTTACCTCCCTGTGCAGCTGGCTCCAGCAATCCAGCCAGGAGGAGTAGGTGGGTGCATAAGGAAGGAGACCCCCGGCCAACCTGGGGAAGGGAGGGAAGACCCACCAGGAATTATTCCCACAGGGAATTATTCCCACCCAAGAATCACCCATTCCCTTTGCGGCTCCACACTGGGTTGAACCCCAAAACGATCCTTTCCCACTTCAAGCAAGGAAGGATCAACCTCAAGGAGCACTGGAAGCACCTTTCCACCTGGGAATTTCGGGAAAGTGGTTCCAGGAGCTGATCTGGGGCAGAGGGATGCAGGTGTCAGTGGGATTACGGACTCACCCGCAGTTGTTCACGGCCATCAGGTTGGAGACCAGGACGAAGGGGTAGGTCAGCATGCTGGCAAAGAACTGCAGGAAAAGCAGGGATTGGTGGCATGTTCCCTCTTCCCTCCACATGGGGAAAACCCCTGGGAGTTTCACCCCAGGGAGGGAGCCCACTCCTGCCACCTCTACAGGGTCACACGTGTCCTCCATGCAGCATCCCTTGGCCTGCGGGCTGATCTGGCTGATCTCAGCCTGGCTCCATGCCCACCCTGGCAGCTGTAGGATTCTGGGAACACAACACTCCCTAGGGAAAGGATCCACTTCCTGCCCGTGGCTGTACTCACCCCAGTGACCGCCTGGGAGTAGCTCTTCATCTCAGTCATGGTGGAGACCTGAGGGAGGAGTAACAGCACCTGAATCCCCCCAAAACGGGGTCGTGGCTCCCAGAATACCCCTGAAGCTGCCCCCCGTCAGCTCCCGGGTCCCAGAGCAGAGCCTACCCCGTTCTCCAGCGCGTATGTGTTGATGAGGTAGGCCAGCATGTTGCACAGCCACAGGGAGAGGATGTCCCCAAGGAGCCGCGGGATGAGGCCGCTGCAAGGGAAGAAACAGTGGGAATGTTGGCTGAGAGTTGGAATCTGACTGTGCAGAGAGCTAGGAACAGCTGGTTTGGGAGAGCAGCCAGGTGATGGGGGAACAGCCATCCCTGGGAGCAGGGATTCTCAGGTGAGTGATCCAGCGCTGCTGGAGGGATTCAAGATACTCCCAAGAAGGCTTTGGGACCTTTCCAACGATGTCACCCCCACCGTACCCCGCCGCCTTCCCAGCACTCACGCAAAGAATCCCAGGATTCCCTCTTCCCGGTAGATTGTGGCAAAGGCGCTTAGTGTCCCACTGGGATAGGGAGAAAGAGGAGGGATAATGTCAGGGCATCCCAGGATCCAGAGCCTCCCGGAGCACCCAGAGCCCCCAGAACATACCTGTACTTGGTCTCACGGCCAATGAACTGCACCATGCAGCGCAGGGTGATCACTGCGGGGACACGGGAGTGACAGGAGAGGGACAGGAGGCACCTGGCACTGTGCCCCTAGTCCCCTGGGATGGGGGACACCTACCATGAAAAGGGTGGGTGATGAGGGTGGCAGCAGAGCGGGCGACCATCTCCCGGGAGGTCTGGGAACAAAGGGAACATCACCAGGAGGGGACAGGGATGTGACATCCCACTGCCTTCCTCCTTCTCCTGCTTCTGCTCCTTACCTCCTTGAGCACCTGCTCCAGCGAGGACACCGGCTCCTTCTTGCTGGCTCCAGGCTGGAGGAGGAAGGAGGAGTCAGGTGGGAACAGGTGCCCAGAGAGGGGACGCTGTCCCCAGGATGAGGGCGAAAGCTCCTGGCCCACCAGAGTGCTCTGGATGCAGGGCTGGGGCTCTCCAAAGGCTGGGGCTGGGGAAGAGGGAAGGAGGAAAGAGAGAAAGGAGGGAAAGAAGGGAGGAGGAGGAAAGGATGGAGAGAAACAAAGGAAAAAAAAAAGGATGGAAGGATTGGAGAAGAAAAAATGGAGAGAAAAACAAATGAAGGAAAGAAGGAATAAGAGAGAAGAGGAGAAAGGAAAGAAGAAGAGAAGGAGAAAGAGGAGAAAGGAATGAGGGAAAGAAGAGAAAGGAAGGAGAAGGGAGGAATAGAAGAACAGAGAAATGGAAAGAAAGAGAAAGCAGACAGGGATGTAGGGGAAGGGAAGGGAAGGGAAGGGAAGGGAAGGGAAGGGAAGGGAAGGAAAGGGAAGGGAAGGGAAGGTTTGGGAAGGGAAGGGAAGGGAAGGGTTCCCCGTGAGAAGAACCTCTGCACCCACCTCAGCCTGCTCGGCCTCCTGGTACCTCTGTGGAGCAAAGGGCAGGGTCATCGCAGGGCCAGGACTGCGCGGGGAGCCAGGGGGCCCCGGTGTCCCCCTGTCCCGGCGGCAGAAACCCCGGTTCCCGCAGCGCCCCAGGCCCGGCGCCCCGCCCGTGCCGGTACCTGCAGCACTTTGCTGTGCACCACGGTGCCGATGGCGCTGGAACAGAGGCGGGGGGCAAGGCCTTTGAAGAGTCCCGCTCTCCCGTCCACCTTTACGATGTGCTTAGCTGGGGACAGCGGGGACCGTCAGCCCCGGGGAGACCCCACGGCGGCGCCGGGACGGCGCCGGGGCGGCCCCACCGGGGCGGACTCACCGTAAGAGAAGAGGCCGGGCAGCTGGTATACCTGGCGGCCGAAGATGTTCCTCCCAAGGGTGGGCGGCAGCGGCTCGTAGCCCACCTGCAGCGGAGAGGGGCAGGCTGTACCCCCCGCGCGGCCAATACCGAGCCCGGTATCCTCTCTCAACCCCGCCATTCACGCCCTTACCTGTACCAGCACCTTCACGTACATAAGCGGCTGCGAGAGCACGGTGAGCCCCGAGCCCAGCAGCACCTGCGAAGCCGCGTCCGCCATGGTGCCGCCCCGGCGTCACGGCACAGAAGGACACGGCCACGGCTGCCGCCGCTTCCGCTTCCGCCTCCCGGTAGTTCCGGCGCCGTCATGACGCATTTCCGGCCGCTGAGAGGCGCCCTGGGAGCGCAGCGGCTGCCATGGAAACGGCCGGCGGTGCCGCGGGGGTGTTACCACGGCAACGAGGCCTGCGGGACTGGGGGCATCCACGGGCCTGTGAGGACACCGTGGGTACAGCGGGGACAGCGTGGTCACAGGGCTGAGGAGACACCGGAGTGGCAGAGTTAGCGAGACCACATCCCTAGAGCACAAGGTGACACCATGGTGGGAGGGCTGAGGTGACACCCTGGTGGCAGGGCCCAAGGTAACACCACAGACATAGGCTGACACCATGGTGGCTCGGGGTTGGGTGCCAGCAACCCTGGCCGGGCTCAAAGACAAGGGGGACCACTGAGGGGACATCGCAATGAGAACAGGAAGCACCAGGCACAGACATGGAGGTGGCAGCATCTTTACTGCCGAGTGCAGGCGCAGCAGCGTGAGGCCACTGCAGGGACAGTGAGGGGACGTGTCCTGTCCCTCGGCCTGCGCCCACCCCGCTGCCAGGATGGCCCCAGCATTGCTCCCACGGCTGGATCTCGGGAATAGCCACTGGTGGCACCACTGTGGCAGGGGCTCAGTGGTGGTTTGCAGTGTGTCGCAGCACTTGTGCCACTGTCCAGCTGATGCCTTCCCATGGTGGCACAGTGGCCATTCCCTGCTTCGGGTGCCGTGGGAAGAGCCACTCCAGAGTGAGTTCCAGGCACCTTTCCTGCAATGGCACGGAGGCCATGCTCTGCTCCAGCTGCCCTGGGAAAGGTGACATTGGAGCTGGCTCTGGGCTTCTCTCCCACACTGCCACCTCCATTCTGGACACCAGGAAGAACTGGATGCCTGCGGGTCCCAGCCTGCGGGACAGAGAAGAGAAGTCAGTTCTACTTGAGGGGTGGGACAGCACTGGGGACAAGTGTTCCTGCAGGATGAAGGACCCCCTCAGGCCTGGATGGACTGTGGTAGCTCCAGGCTCACCAGGATCCTGGTACCGCTCCGGTTGGTTTGGTGCAGGCCATTCCTTGCTCTCCGTCTCTGCAGCCGCTTCCTCCTGCGTGGCTCCATCTGTGCCAGGTGGTAAAGTGGCACTGAGATTTCTGCTCCCTCTGTCACCTTGTTCTACCCTGGCTCTGTGTCCCTCCCACTTCAAGACTGGTGTCACACGGGGACTCACCGGCCTGTCGGGGCTGTGGAAGTCATCTGGGATCTCGTCGGACACGGAGCTGTCGGAGCCACTGGTGCTGCAAGGGGAAAGAACTATCTGCAGTCACTAGTGGCACCACGGGGTGACACGAGGTGACATAGGGTGACAGGGGATGACATACCTGGACTCAAGCTCTGAGAGGGACACATTGCTCCAGCTGCCTCCAGAGCCTGGCTCCCGACCCATCTGCTGCTGCAGCAGCACATCCACCTCCACCAGGCACTGCTGGAGCTGAGGGACAGTGACAGTGTCACAGTGTCACCGTGGTCTCACGGCACCAGGGCACCCTGGGCCAGGTGCAAGCCCACCTTGGCAGGTGCAGGGTTACAGAAGTCAAGCAGGGTGTCACAGAAGAGGCGACCCAATGACTCCAGGTCCTCCTTGCTAAAGTGGGACCTCCTTCCACCTGGAGAGGACAGGGAAAAGGAAACTAGGGCAGCTCCCCAACTCAGGACCCCCCCCAGCACTGTCCCCATGGCCGTGGCAGCCCCTCACCCAGCGTGGAGCCACTGAAAGCCACCTCTAGGGTGTAGCTGTGGGAGACACCCAGGCGCCACATGGAGACCCGACCTGTCCGCTCTTTGCTCTTCTGCACCTGGAACTTGCAGCTGGAAAAAGAGAACTGGGCGGCCCCAGGGTCAGAGGGGATCCAACCCCACAGGGACAGCTCAGGAAGCAGCACGGTGACTGCGTTCCCACTGTCTCTGCAACAGATGGCTCTGAGGCATCCATGTCCCACCTTGTTGGGGGCGTTTTTGCTCAGCATCAGGGGGAACACGCGCTGGCGCAGCCGTGTCCCAGTGCCATCCCCGCCGGCATCGCAGCCGTACATGAAGACATTGTTCTTCCGGCTGTGTCCATGGAAGTCGCAGTACAGCATCACCTCTCGCTCCTCCAGCACCCTGCATGCATCAGGATATGGCCACCAGCACTGCCACGGGAATGGCCTCATCCCACCAGCTCCCCACACCCACCTCACCTCTGCACCATGGCCCGCAGGTGCCACACACCAGGGAAGGAGCCGGGAAGTGCCATCCCGTAGGCCCTGTTGGGATCCCGTCCCGCCAGGGAGCAGCGGGAGTTGCCCACGACCACCCCATCGGGGTTGAGCATCGGCACCACCTTGAAGACGAAGAGGCGGCGCAGGAGCTGCGCGTCTGCATGGGCGCTAAGCAGGAAATCAAGGAATCCCCTCATGGCCCAGGAGCCGCCGCTCTCTCCAGGGTGCACGCGGGCGCTCGCCACCACCACCCGCTTGCCGGCTGTGCCACCTGGGCTGGTGATGGTCAGCAGGTACACGCTGTTGCCGGCCAGGCTGCGGCAGAGTGCCTGCACAGTGCAGTACTGGGAGCGCACCGGGTCGGCCACCAGTGCACGCAGGTAGCGCTGCAGGTCCGAGTAGGTGTAGGGATAGCAGGCGGCGAAGAAGCACGTGTCACTGTCATGCGGGAAGCGCACTGTCCAGCTGAGCCGGAACAGCGGTGGCTCCCCTGCACTGCCACGGCAGTAGCAGATGTCAGTCCCAACCCGGCGCCAGCCTATGCCACGGCTCTGGGCATCCTGCTGGGAGTAGAGCAGGGGCTGCAGGCCCTGGCCGTAGAGGCTCTTGGGCTTGGCCATGTTGGCGATGGTGAAGCGGTAGAGTGGCTCCTGTCGTGTGTTTTGGACACGGAAGTAGAACCACTGTGTGTGTTTGGCCGTGTACAGGTCCGGCTGCAGCATCAGCACATACTCGTAGGGACCCCTGTGTGGAGGGAAGGGCTGTGCTCCAGATCCAGGCTTGGCACGAGAGGCCCCATGCCCTCCGGCTTCTGTCTTACACCTTAATGGCCTTCTGGAGGTTCCCACTCTCAAAGCGGGACTCGAAGAGCAGCGTGGTGTCCTGTGGACCTTCCAAGGGGGCTGCTGGCGAGGAGAGTGGCCCCGGGGCCCCCCCAACCCGAGCACGGGTAAAGCAGGAGCCCTGGAGTGCTGTGGGGAAGCAGGGACAGTGGTGGAGGTCTGGGGAGAGCAGAGACACTCAGGGATGCTGCCTGTGCTCCATTACCTGGGCTGGAGTGGTAGACAGTGGTGCCCTGCTCCTCACTGAGGCTGTACACGGGCTGCTCCGGGCCCATGGGTGGGCAGAAGGGCTCCGGTTTGGGGGGCACCCACTCTGGGAGAGGGGGACATAGATTCAAATGCCATACACACAACAGGGGTCTGGCACAGGAGTGGGGCAGAGAGACAGCTGGAGAATCCCCTCACCAATGTGCTCAATCGTCTCCTGGATGACTTCACACTCCACAGGCCAGCGGGGAGCAGGGAAGAATGGAGCCTGTGGTTCTCCTGGAGACATCCAGGGCTTCATTGAGGGGGCCAGCCTGCCCTGGTGGGGGGACCTGCTCCACCACCCTGGGGGCTGCAAGAGCACTGGGAAGGACTGGGGGTCTCCAGTGTGGTTGGGGTAGGGGCATCCCCCAAAACCAAGGCAGGGACAGAGAGAGACCCTCCCCCCACTCCTGCTGTGCTGGGGAGCTGTGAAGGGCTGTAGGATCTCACTCACGGTTTGGCTTGTACCCAGGACCTCGCTGCCAGCCAGCGCCGGTGTTGCCCATGGTGGATGCCTTGGAATGCTGCCCGGAGGATTCCCCCGGGGACATGGCAGTCTCTTCCCTGCCCGTCTTCTCATCTTGGGGAGAAGCATCTTGCAGCCAGGGAACAGGAGGGGACACAGCCCAGGGACAGGAGGGGACGCCGCACAGTGGCCAGGGCTCACCTCGGAAGTAGCCATAGAAGCGCAGGTGGGTGCGGATGAAGCTGTCATAGGGCTTCAGGACCTGTCCCCCACCAAACCTCCCCGGAGCCCCCTCCCCTCCCTGGGCAGCCCGGCGCCCTGTGGGCTCCATGGCTGTAAGGTCTCCGGGAGACCCGCAACAGCAGTGGCAGTGTCTGCTGGGCTGGCACGTGGTTGCTGAGCTACAGGGAGGAATGGGGCGGTCCTGGAGCAGAGCTGGGAAAGGAGCCAGAGGGATTTCACAGAGTCCTTAAGGTTGGAAAACACCTCTAGGATGGTTGAGCCCAACCTGTGACCAATCCCCACCTTGTCACCCAGACCAGAGCACCGAGTACTATGTCCAGTCATTCCTTGGACACCTCCAGGGCTGGGGACTCCCACCACATTCCTGAGCAGTCCGTTCCGATGTCTGACACCATTTGTTTCTATGAACAAATTCCTCCTCATGTCTAACCTCAGAGTTAGACAAACAGAGCTTGAGGCTGTCCTGTCCCTTGTTCCCCGGCAGCAGAGCCTGACACATCCCCTGGCTGCACTCTCTTGCCAGGGAGTTGTGGGAGAGCCAGGTCTCCCCTGAGCTTCCTTTTCTCCAGGCTTCTCAGCTCCTCCTAGTATTCCAGACCCTTCCCCTGCTCCATTCCTTTCTTTGGACAGCCGTCTCATGCCATGAGGGTTCCAGATCTGTCCCCAGGGCTGGAGGTGGCTCAGCAGTGCCAGAACAGGGGACACACCTGTGGCCACACCAATGCTGGGACAGCCCAGGTGCCATTGCCTTTTGCCCACCTAGGCTCATGTTCAGCTGCTCTCACCAGTACCCCTAAGGCCCTTCCCAGCTCTTCAGCCTCTTCCCCCAGCCTGGAGCATTCCACAGAGTTTATGTGACCCAAGTGTAGGTCTGGCACTTGGCCTTTACCCTCACACTTTTAGTCTCAGTCCTTCAATTCAGCCAGCTCAGTTTCCTCTGCAGAGCCTTCCTGACCTCCACAATCCACATGCCCATCCAACTTGTACTTGTGGATTACAGGGATCTGTTGTGCTCCCCATCCTCATCGACCATCCGCCCTCACCAGCATCAATGAGATGGCACTTCCCAAACTGCTACAATTTATTGGACAATGATCAAAGGAACTGTACATCTGTAAAAAAAAACAAAACAAAAAAAACCCCAAGAGGTGGGCACGGCACTGCATGCCTCATGTGCTTGAGGCCGTTTTCCTCCGCTTCAGCCGTGAGCGCCAGTCCTCTGGCAGTGCCTCGAAGTTGGCGTTCCTCTCGGCCATGCCACTGCAGGGATAAAACGGGATGTCAGCACCCATATGGCCCTCTCATGGGTCCCCCACCTTTACAAGCGACAAGGAAATGTCCTGGTGCCAGCCCCCAGGGTCTGTACCTCATCAGCTGCTGCTGCTTCCACTCCTCGATGCGCCGCTGGGCTGTGGTCTCCCGGTCCTCCTCGCTGGAACTAGAATTCTCCTCCTCATCCAGCTCCCGCTGGATACTTTGCCACTTCTTCACCAACGATGGCATTTTTGTCTTGCCCTTCTTGCTCTGTGCCACAAAAATAACACTGGTGAGCATGGCTGGAGAGGGAGGAAGGAAGGAACAGTGTTGGTGTGGGATCGCCCATCCATCCTACCTTGTCCTTGCGCCCCTTCCTTGGCTTCTCCTTCTCTGGAGGCGGCGGCGCCTTGGGGGTGGGCGGTGGGGGTGTCTGTGGGGGTGGTGGGGGAGGTGGCTGCTCGGCTGCAGTGCCCGTGGCTGGCAGGGCTCCCCGTGCTGGTGTCGGCTGCGTGGTGGCTGTGGTGGCCAGGCTGCCAGGCACAGCGCACTCCGAGTATCCCATCATGGAAGGTGCAGCAGGTCCCGTCACACCCAAGTAGCTGGACTGCAGCCCCAGCGCCGTGGGCTGAGGGCCAGCATGGCCTGGAGCCATGCGGAGGTTGGGGCGTCCCTGGATCTCGCTCTGGAGGCGCTGGCGTGGCCTCAGGGAGGCCAAGGGCACGGCTGATGGCTGGTACTTGCCCGTGGCCATCAGGGGCTGGCTGTAGATGACGGGGCAGCTGCCAATGGTGGCTGTGCGCTGCATCAGCCCCGGGCTCATCTCCACTGCTTTCCTCTTCTGCGGCTTGGCTGAGAGCAGCGGGGTTGGGCTTGGATCGACAGTGGCCTGGAAGAGAGTGCCGAGGTGAGTGTTGAGCCAGAAGCACCATTACACACCCATTTCTCAAGAGTCTAACACTCTGGAATCACTGGAGTCCAGGCTTCACTCCTCACCTGGCTGCTGCTGGCAGCAGGGCGCACCAGGGACTTCAGGGGAGCATCTTCCTCTGTTCCTGGGGCAGGTGGCTCCTCGCCACCCTCATCTTCCATCTCCACTTCCTGGATCTCCCCATCTTCTCCAGGCGGTGGGGGTGGTGGTGGAGGTGGTGGGGGTGAGTCTGGGGGCGGTGGAGGCGGTGGAGGCATTTCCAAAGGCAAGGGAGGTTGGAGGACTGGGACAGAGGACTGAAGCAGAGTCCAAAATGGAGTGAGCGGCATAAGAGACGTAGCAGGAACTTGGCCTGAGAAGGATTCTTTACAAAGGGAGCCTGAAGAATACACATTAACACAGGCTTGAATGCCCAGACTATGGTCTGTACCACCTGCTCCTCCACCTTGGAGGAACCACCACCGTGTACTGCCCTGGTCCCCACCCCCCGCTCTGGGGCCAGGGCCCCCTCTGCCAGTGAGGTGTACCTGCAGGGCGCTCGGCAGGCCCCTCGGTGTGCTCTTCTTTGTCTTTGGGAGGTGGCTTTGGAGGACCGTCGGGTTTTCTGTCAACGGCGCCTTGCTGTCCCTCCTCTTCGTCCTCCCCGTCGGGGAACTCCCATTGCGACTCTCCCGAGCGCTCGTTAACATAGAAATAGCGTCTATGCTCCCTAGATCACAAGAAAGAGAAGGAGGCTTCAGCTTCCCTTCTCCGCCCCTGACACTCCAAGGCGGGCCTGCCCACGACAGCAGTGCGCTCTCGCAGGGGAGACCCTCGTGCAGCAGGGCTGCCACTCTCCCACACACAACAAACAACTTTGAGGACAGAGGCAGGAGAGGCCCGAGCCGACTCGCTCAAAGCTATTTGCTATCGCTGGCTGCGGGAACGTCGCCCTGAGCCCCCCGCTCCGAGGGAGGGGAGGGCCGGGAACGCTGGTGACGTCTTGCTAACATTGGGACTTTCAGCACGGCCTTGGCTGAAAGTCACCCTCCGAGAAGAGGCACCGGGGAACAGCCCAATGGAGGGAAGCGGCTGCCCCCCTACCCCATGGTGCGCAGAGTTTTTTATGATACTCTTGGTGTCAAACACACAGTGAATGCTAGAGAGAGGGAGCGGATCTGGGAGCTGAAAAACAAAAGAGCAAAGATTTCAAACAAAGGAAAATTAATCAAGAAAGCCAAATAGACAAAGAAATGTTTGGGTCTGACCTGCTGGCAGGAGACAGAAATCTTGTTCTTCATTCCGTCGGTGAGTTGAAGTTTGTCCTTTGGAAGAGCTGTTGGTCAGAAGAGCTGATCCAGAGATCCTGCAAAGTTCACAGAGCTCTCGCATGCGCGACCCCCCAGGCCCGCCCTCCACAGCGCTGAACACTCGCAAGAGGGACAACCAGCTCTGTCCATCAAATTGGCTCCGTCGCAAAGCACTGGGCACTCCGTTTGGATCCTCCAGTTTGGTGGCCGGCCCAAACTCTGCGAGTGCCGGACGTTTCTCTGCCTGCCCAGCACTAACAGAAGCCGCTCTCAGTCTGCCAGAGGGACGGCGCCAGCGTCGTCGGGTGGTTGATGGTCACAAATCATGTCTGAGATGTCAGAGATGAAAGGTGAGAAAGGAGGAGAGCGCGTACCTGTCCCAGTGGCAGGACCAGCCTTTAGGGGTGGCGTTTATTTCGTATTGTTTAAGCTGTTCGGCTGCGTCTTGAAGTTTGCGTTTGAGGTAGTTTCCATTGAGAGCACCTTCTCGCCAGTCTGCAATGCGGGTCTAGAGGGCAAGAACCGGGGGAAGCCGTTGAGGTGGGCTGCCAGCGGCCCCGGGGGGGACGGGACTCGAGGATCGGGAGGCTCCCTTCCGGCACGGGACGCGGGAGGCCAGGAGGAGGAGACCCTGCCTCCGCGCCAAGCCACGCTCTCCCCCCGCCGAGGAAGGGAGGGCCCCGCGCAGCGAGGCGCCATGAGGCTCACGCAGCACCGGCGCGAGTGACGGCGGATTGCATCCGATCCGCTCTGGAACACAAGGCCGGAGCGAGGGGCGAAGGCTCGGTTACCTCTGTCTGCAACAGCAACATGTGGAAGTTGGAGATAGATTGTCTGTTGATGCCCAGGAACTCCAATTTACTAGTCAGAGTATTTGCCAGCTCTCCAATCTGAAACTGCCAGGAGAAAGGGCAGAGTCAAGAGCTGCCCTCTGGGAGCAGCATCGGGCAGCTGTGGCCCTGCGGCTCTCGGGAAACACCGCTCGGAACCACCCACAGCCCCTCAGCCTGGAGGGATCGAGATGTGCCACCCTGGCCCTGTGTGCCTGTCACCCCCTCTGTGAAGTCCTGCTACATCCTGAACCCCAGGGACAGGGCAGTGTGGCTGGCTGGGTGACAGCTCCTCCACGGACTGCACCTGACTGTGTGCGGAAGGACAGCATGGGCTCAGGCAGCTCCGGTACTTTGGAGTTACAGCAGAACCATTGTCACGGCAGATATCTAAGAATGCTTTCCAAATAAACGGACCAGGATGTCATTCCAGGTCCTGTAAATAACTGCTTTCCAGAGTAACTAGCTCTAGAAAGCACTAGAAAGGGCTAACAGCTCTGGATTTACTCCAGAGCAGAGGCAGCAGCTACATCAGAACTCAGGTCAGCTCATGGTGACCATGGCTCCTCAACTCCAGCGTCCCATGGGAGTGAAACCTCCCATGTGGGGACATGGAGATTCCTGTGTCCGTCCCCCTGACTGAAGGCATTGCATGAAAGCAGCCACAAGCCAGAAAGGAACCAAGAACAGGAACAGGGATTTCTGCAAGTGACATCACCATCGCTTTAAGGAGGGCTCTAAAAACGTCTACTTTTAACTTCACTCCTCAGAAGAGGCTTTGGAA